GTGCCGACGGACAACACCGGCAATCGAGTGAGCAGTTGAAGCCAATTTCTACGTAATTTTGCGGCTAAACTTGCCTGCTTGACTCTTTTGGATACTCTTAGCATGATTGTGTAGGAATACGTCCAGAAAATGTGATATTGGTACAATAAATCGCACGATAAGCACATGGAAGGCTAACCCGGAAACAACTCAAGCGCTAAAAACGGTTTTTGCGCAGAACGATGCCAGAATTTCAGTTCTGCGCATAGCAATATGCGTTGGTACAGAACGTGTTGAATTCTGGGTAAAACCTCGTACCGTGGAGGGGCCACTGGCCTTATACTATTACGCATGGTTAGACATGTACAGGTCTACCAGCCGAACATTTACCGAATGGTGTCAATAACATGATTGTTGAGTTTTTACCATATCTCGTATATCTTTGACACATGAACCCCTGCACCCAGGTTTAGGGACTTTCACCCGTGTGCGCACGTAACTGTCTATTGACAACTGTAACCCATTTTGCTGACCGTGATTGTTCGCTGAAATGTTCGAATTCATGATTGGTCGATTGCATTTACAATACTGGACTCAGTTTTGCTCGCTTGTAGTACACGAGGGCGCTGTTGAAAAATATTGCACATATTGTGCCTGTGACGTGCTATGTATCGGTGCGGTGCGTTTTACAATTTTAAACAAACTGTCATGAGAAGAATCTTATAAGATTTCGTGGAAAGTGAATTACGCATGTCAGTAATACTAAAATACAATGTTTGGAATATGACAAATACTTTATGTTAGTTAGTAAGGCATTTTAAAATAAATCTCAGGGTTGGCTATTAGTACACTCCAAGAAGGGGGTTGAACACATTTTTAATTGTTTTCCTTCTCGTAGATTTTAACTACATTGTTTTCAGGACAATCTCGCTGTGTTTTGTTTGACTTTCCTCTATCAAATCTGCATGTCTTTTTGCTTGCTATAAATATTTATTTCTTGTCGTAAGTTGTGTTCAAACTGTTCGCTACACGGACCCCTCTCCACTTTACCATCTCCCCATGTATCTAATGGTCAACTCTTTAGTTGTGCAAATTTTGTCAGATGTTCGGTTTAAAACTGCACCACAGGGTAAAATATCACGCAAAGGGGTAATAACGAATTCATTTTATGTAATCGTTCGCATAGTGGATGGATTCGATGGTTTATGTAGGCATACAAGCAAGTGTTTTTATAAATGACGTAACATCCGTGACTGAAAAATACCCATGACATCTATAAATTACGCGTTTATCTTCAAGTGTTACTGAGTATACACGTTTTACCCGAGTACCCCCCCCCCCGTTCGTATACAGGATTGTTGCGAGTACTGATTGCTTCCTTGTATAATTTTCAATTTCGAATGTGATTTTCATTCATGCGCAAAGATTAATGTTTTGGCGATATTGTATTTTCGATCCACGACATGATATACATAATGAAATAGTTACTCGGGAATTGACACAATTTCACGTTTGACATTTTATTTTATTATTCTTTTGTTATTGTTTTTATGTATAGTCCTTGTCGAAATTTCTAATGAAAATCGGGTCGCCAGATTCGTTCATATGCGCATTCCCCATTTCTCCCGAATACCGTTTTTATTATGTAACCAATCCATTTCCGATGTGCATTTTTACCGATTTTGTTTATATTTGGCACAAAAGCAACACATATTGGATATCATATATGTTCTAATTTGTTTTTATGCTGAATTGTTTTTACACCCTTCCCATAGGCACCTGATTTATAACCGGGACAATACAGTCACTTGGGGACTGAAATTTACAATAATTAGATCAGCACACTTATTAACCAACAAAAAACATCAATGTATAAAATACCTTTACTAATATTTTATTTGTTCACAATACAATACAATTGTAGTGTTTGTGTTTAAAAAAAATCACGAATGAACTCTCCTAAGTTGTTGGCAATAAAACCATCTACAGTCACGGTGCCCACGAGAAACGTAAATCCGGGGAATTTGTGCAGGTCAGAGGTCATTCTCCCATGATGCAAATCTTACTTATTCGAAAAATATGGCGGCACGGTAGTCAAATTTTTGAAGTTTAAACGCCTGCGTACGTGTCGGTCCCTATTTCGTTGACATAAGTTATACATCGACAAACTTTTAGGAAATTTCACCATTTGCTGACTCAACGAAGATGTCAAAATCACGTAAGTTTATATCGTTCACTTCTAATATTGTTGCACCCTCGCTAAACTCAGCTGACAACAATAACAACAACAAGCGCCGTGCAGTGTTCCTTGTTGTGACACGTACATACACGCTCTGTCATTGATTTCGTAGACTGTCTTCCATTCTAGTCACACAGTTCAACTAAATCAGTGAGTATTCCATTTTTTGGCTGATTCAATATTTGAAAGTAAGTACTTGTTTGTAGTTTTCGAGTGTCACCGTTTGTGATAATGTTCCGATCGCTTCTTGTACCCAGCCAGGCTCTGCATTCATAAACTTTGTAATCGCCAACATACTCGCATGTTTGAACCTCAATTCAAGCATGGAAGGCATTAGCCCTAATACCTGCCAAGCATGTACAAGATATGACCTGTCATTGATGACCACATGGTGGACGGAGTTTATATCAATCTTTCGAACCACAAGTCGCGACTGAAATTCTGAGTAATGTGACTAGTTTTGGCACACGTTACAGATGATCTGCTGTAAGATCTATGTTACAAAGTGACAATTGCAAATATGTGTGGATGGATGTGTGGGGTGGTTATGGCAGGGGTACCATACTTTAGTATGTAATTGCGTGCAGTAGGAGTGACAAGCAGACCTGTCAATGACTGACAACTTGCCTCAAGTATTTACTAAAGTATTTGAAGGCACCCATGCATTTATTGTCAATGTGGGAAGTATGGTGTCAGGATGTTCTGGCCCTGGTCACTTACGGGTCTGGTAAATAAAAGACGTTACTGCCCTGATTTGGATGTTACGGCCCTGAAACAGGTTGGTCGTTACGACCCTGGTATAAATTAATTTCAATGTGTTCATATCTAATGTATTAAATGCACAACAAATGTATAACTTTACTATTTGCAACTTATACTTCCAAAACTACATATGATTTTCTCACCTTTTTTTGTGGAACAAAATATTACCATAGGAATAAATAATGTACCATAAAAATGGATGTTTCACCTATTTATTCTGAAGTATTTTGATGACTATACTCTTTAGTTTTAGATGAAGTTTAAAATGGGAACATATGTCTTAAGTAGGTTCCGTCTGTTTTTCTGTCCGGATCTATATTTTCTCTGACCTTTACATTAAGCTTCATCTCAGCATAGATGTACTAACAAAGGATGAATCAATTTCCTTTGATCTATCTGTTTTGTCCCTGATTATTTTGAATTAATAAATAAACATTGATGTTTACTTCTAATTACGCTTAAGATTGTAAGCGCGTAGCCGGGTGATCCCCAAATCTGTTTACACAGTGCGTTCGGCAGTTCTCAAAGTCGTTCGGCACATACGGGTCATCATGTGGTCATGTGACATTTTTTCCTAACAAAGGTGGCGTCGCACGTAGTGGAGCTGAAAGTGAAAACAGATTAACAAAAAAGCATGTTTTAAACCTACTATCTTGTGCTATCACTAACACAGACCACGGTAAAAAAAAAGAATAATAAACATTTGGATCTGATATTAAATTTGTTTGTCACAAATCAAGGTAAAGTTGAAATATCATACTACAAAAAAATTAAAGCAAAAATTTCAAAAACCACTAAATAAGTACTGTAATTTTCCGTTCGCCAATAAACTTCTGTCAATCTGATTTATTTTCAGTGTTTGATAGGTCACCTGTCTCGTTGGGGAAACTGTGCATGATTGTCGGTCGTTGTTTTTGAATGTGCAATGAAATTGTAAAATGGTATGAAATATAACATTTTCATGCGATGTACACACCCTTTTTAATGACAGCAAGACTCATCCAATTACTTTGATCTTGTTTTAACTGTATGTTTTTTGATAAGACAAAGGTTTGAAGAGGATTTTAACACATTATAACACCAAAAGTAAACTTTCTCCAACTGGTGCTTTTTTAATCCTTCTAACTCAGTGGTTCATCCTTTGGTAGTATGTCCATGAAATGTGTTATCTGAGGGGGGGGGGGGGGCAAGGGTTATTTTCGTTCAACGTAATTGCAATATTTTTTTGTTCGTACAACGTAAATAGAAAAAATAAATTCCGTAATTCTGTAATCACAGGCTAGACGTACAACGTAATCAATCAAATATTTTTTTCGTACACTGTAAAAATGTGTCATTTTTCTCGTACGTACAAAAATTCAAATTCAAATAAAAAAATTGTAAAGAATAATCTAGGGAAATTACATTTTAGAAACTGTAAAACGACTAGATGACACAATTCACTACAAAATTGAATGTCAAGACGTAAAAGGCCCTCTAACCGAATGAAGAGCATTACGAGGGTAATATGGGCATGCGTCTCTTCACACGGCGCAGCAATGGTGGAGAATTTGAGTCGGAGAGCTCTTCGGACCATTCAATGTTCCATTTGTTAGTTAACACTGCAAACTGTAAAAACGTCTTTTTTTTCTTCGTAAATTGTGAAAAGCCCTTTTTATTTCCCGTAAAACCGTACCAGCTACCCCCCTTGCCTCCCCTCTTATCTGCATCAAGACCATGGTGGCAGCAGTTTGCAAACCCCCCCCTCCCCTCCCGTGGCGCCGCTGAATTGCAGTGCCCCCTGTATTCCATACCCTTCTATATATAAATATGTTATCTATAGAGCTTTCAAGCTTTCAATCGCTCTCGCTGTGCTCGCTATTGTGCATAAAAAATAAAACTGCACAATTAATTCTACAAATATAAGTCATTTATAATGACTTGTTTATGTGGGTTTTGTGAAACACAAGTATAACCCCATTGTGAAAGTAAAAAAAAAATGTTTATAGTACTAACCACATGTACCTAATTTACCCTAGTCATTATTATGAATGGTCATTGTTCAACAAAAAACAGCATTGCACATAATCGCATGTCAACACAAATACTTAATATTAACAAAAATTATTTCAATGCTTTTTAGATAATCACCTGTATCTAATAATTAGAACATGAAGGGTTGATGTAGTCAGTATACGGAATACAGAATATATAACAATTTTAAGTCATTTTTCAGTGGCTGTATAATTGCATATAAATAATATTTTTGCTCAATATAAATTATTTCATTTTTTCCAGTACCCTTTCACACTGGTGTACTATGACGTTCATGTCTAGTAAATTTTATCCTTGAATACCTCAACTGTGTGGTTAGTGATAAAGATGCCGTTTATATTAGCACCCGAACAGTATATGTACCACTTACCAGATTTCAATGAGAGAGCAAGGATATTTTGTACTGAATGTTTAAAATAAAATGTGTATACGTGTAACACTATTAATGTAATATAGTATGTGAAGGTTTTAGTCAAAAGAGCAATAAAATTGCCTTCAAAATCACTGCTTAAATGGATTAACCTATTTCTGTTGGATTGTACTACTATGACATGGGGGTGATGTTTAATCTTCATAATAGTTCCTAAATTTTATTATTGCATGACTTCAATCTCTGAGAGTACTTTATCAAAACTAGCGATATGCATGTACTCTATTCTGAGATGTCAAGATGCTGAGCCGGAATTGCATTCTGTTGGATTCAATAAAACACACAGGAGACATGTGTCAAAACTGACAGAGATTCTAATCTATTTTAACACATTGGCGTCCACGACATAAAAATCCACGTGTTCAATTTGAGTGTTTATATCCAAGTTACAAGTTTCTGTCCATGTACATTGTTTCTGCTTACCAATGGAGTTGATTGAATTTAAGATTATGAATGACAATTCAATCACATCATATTACAGAAATGTTGATGGCATTATTGCATCAGCAGTCTTAGTGGGTCAGTGTACTATTCACTTTATTCTACCCTCAGTACATGTGTACATGCTCATTTAATCAGTGTGGTGGTTGTTATCTGACTCATGATCAGTAGACCCGAGTTAAAATGCTACCCGGGGTTGTACACCAAGAAACGTGTCAACTCCACATGTATATGTATGTGAAGACAGTACTTTCTCAATGCAGAGGCCAAAACCATCGACCATGATTCATTCACTATATGTGCTTTGGGGGACATTGGTCAAGGACTGTTGGTGCTTATGTTCTCCTGGGCCTGAATGAACCTGGGATGGTAGGATTATGATAGGATAACCTAAAAATAGAATGTGGTTTCCCTGGCAAAATGCAC